GAATCCCAAGCAGTCTCCACACTGTCAGCCAGAGCCCAAGGTAGAGCTCAATCTCACAAACCGTGAGATTGTGACCTGAGCCAAAAATCAAGAGTTGGATGGATATTTAACTAACTGAGCCACCCAGGTGCTACTGTGTGTACCTATGTTAATCCATTATTTTAGGAACTCAGTGGGATATTTCAGGCTAGAAATTTGGGTCCTTCAGATCTATTGTTCATTAGTGATTTTCTCCCTTTTTTCTTTCCTCTCCTGATACTCCTACTATTAGGATGTTGCAACTCTGGACTAGATCCATAATTTTCTTAAGTATTTCCTCCTGTTTTTCATCTTTGTCTTTTTGCTCAGTTTTCTCGTAGATTTTATCTGTCATTCAGCCTTTTATATGGTCTTTTGTTTCCCCTGTCATATTTTGAATTTACAAGAGTTCTTTTGGTCTGAAAGTTCCTGTTTTATGACATCCTGTTCTTATTTTATAATTACAATACTTTCTCTTATCTTTGACAATATTAGGTAGCATTTTTTTCTCCTTGCCAGTTTCCTACTTCAGATTGGTCTTTCTTCCCCCCTGATTGTGTGTATTTTAAGAATTGGGGGTTAAAAAGCTGATTGCAAGCTCTGAGTCTGTGGGAAGGGCTCCTCTCCCACTGAGCTTCATGATAGGATGACTTGGTTTAGCCGTTTGTTAGGTAATCCCTCATAGTAGTATCTTTGGGTCATTCTTTTTCAGGCTGGTCAGAGTCCCCGGAGAATATTCTTCTTATCTCCTGCCAAGAAGAGAAAGAGGATAGGGGTCCAGTGTGCTGATGTTTACTGAATCCCTCTGTTTTTGACACTCTACTCATCTGCATCTGTCCTGACTTCCCCACGGCCAGAGGCCTTCTGTTTACCTCCGAGAGTGAACCTCTAGCCCTCTGCTGGGGTGGGAGGGACACCTGCCGGCCTCGTGCAGTAGGAGGGATCTGGGCTTCTGCCTGCTTCTTAAGCAGACTTTTGACCAATTTTTGTTTGCCTTTTCCCCTCCCTGCTTCCCCACCTTCAGAGCCACGTGGTACCTCTGACTCCTGAACTTTGCAGGGGTGTGGGGTGGAGAGTAGGGTGTTTCCCATCCTCCTCTACTGCTGGGAGCCTGAATTTTCTAGGTCTACCACGGTATCTACCCTCATCCCTCAGCTCGCCAGCCTCCAGTGTTTTGTTGCTCTAATCCTTCTCTCAGTGCTTCATCCTTGTGGGTTTATACATTTGCGTAAATATCCCTTTCTTGTCATTTGGTGGGGCTGCAGGAAAGAGCGAAGGTGTGCATCCAGTCTGCCATCTGTACCCCAAACTTCATCTCGCTTTTCATGTTCCTCATGACTTATACTTTCACTCATTGGTACAGCACTTTTGATTTGTCTCACTCTTCCATTAGACCATAAGCTCCATGAGGTCGTTGTCTGGGTGGTGCTTATTTATTTTTCCCATTCCAATCCCCACCCCTATTTTTTTAATGTTGAAAATATTTCATTGTGGTAAAATATATACATAACATAATATTGATCACTTTACCCATCGGTAAGTGTACAACTGTGACATTAAATACATTCACAAAGTCGTATAACCATCACCACTATCTACACCCAAAACTTTTTCAATATCTCCAACAAAAACTCTGTACTCATTTAATAATGCCACTCAATCCCGTACCTCTGACTGATAACCTCTGTTCTAACTTTCTGTCTCTGTGAATTTGATTACTCTAGGGACCTCATGTAAGTATGTGCTTTTGTGATTGGCTTATTTCACCTAGTACAATATTTTCAAGGTCCATCCGTGTTGTAGCATGTGTCAGAATGTCCTGCCTTTTTATTACTATGTAATATTCCACTGCATGGATAGACCACATTTCGTTTGTCTATTCCCCCACCTCTGTTTTATCTTTTTTTCTAAATTTTTTTTTTCCCAACGTTTATTTATTTTTGGGACAGAGAGAGACAGAGCATGAACGAGGGAGGGGCAGAGAGAGAGGGAGACACAGAATCGGAAACAGGCTCCAGGCTCTGAGCCATCAGCCCAGAGCCTGACGCGGGGCTCGAACTCCCAGACCGCAAGATCATGACCTGGCTGAAGTCGGACGCTTAACCGACTGCGCCACCCAGGCGCCCCCTCTGTTTTATCTTTAATGAACAATCCCTGCCACATGATAGACACTAAAAATGTTCATTGGATGGTTTAACCACCTTCTTCCCTTTTTTGGATCTGGAAAGCTCCCACTCATCCATCCAGGCATAGCACAGACACCCCCTTCTTTGGGGGACCCTGGAAGCTCCCCTACATAGAACTGGGCACTCTGTGTTATCGTGCAGCCACACAAAGTTATAATTCAGTCCCCTCATCTGGGCTGGCAGCTCCTGAGGGCAAGGCCGGGTCTAAATTTGGAGTGTTAGTTCAATAAATGGGGAACCCTCTTCCCCTCTGATTTGAAAGCTGCAGTTCAACTTTGCAGCCAGCCTCCCCCAACCTCCATTCCACATGCTTCTTTGAGAGTTTGTTTACAGTGGTTGTGTAAACAGGAAAAGGGGCCATTAAAATGGAAATGGGGAAATTTGGAGAGCTTAGCAACCTGAAATGAAATCAGAAAGGGAGGTTTTATTCTCTTGGGGTATTTGAATCTCTCCTAATGTGCTGAAAGCTGAGAATAAATGGTCATTAAGGACCTTTTTTGTCATTAACAGCTTTTTGGTTGGCTTCCTTAAAATAGTTTATTCCCTCTTTCCTGAAGTCAAGCCTGGAGTGTCTTGAGTCTGGTGCCAAGGCCCCTGGGGCTGTTGCTGGCGGAACCCAGGTGGCTGAGACAGTGGTGATGCCACTGGCAGCCTCTTCACACTGGCACCATTTTAGGACCAGCCATCCTGTGACTTAAAGGAATTGGGAAGCTAATGCTTCTTTCTATTCCTTCTCTGTGAAATGAGATCTCCCCTGCTTTGCAAGGATATGAGGACCAGCTGCCTATTACTGGGCTCATAGTCCACATTTAAGAAAGGTTGGCTACAATTAGTAGCCCCAAACAGACCACATGCCCCATGCCGTGACCACTTAAGGCACTGGCCATTCACATCACACAGTTCAGAGCAATGGGAACAATAGCAAACATCTGGAAACTTCCTTTAGACTAATCCCCCTGAAAGAAATGGACCTGGCTTATTGGAAGAAGGAAGGTCTAAAGAGTACATGGAATTGGTTCAAACAAAGAATTCAATACTCTAAAACAAGAAGAAAAAGACAAAACGTCCCACTAGGAAATGGGCAAAGGGTAGGAACAAGGTTGCCTGAAGGATGAACCCAGAAAGGCCAGTGACCATGTGGCCAGGGGCTCCACCTCGCTGGTGATAAGAGAAATGCGTATTTTTAATCATGGTGCTATACCAGTTCACACCATCAGACTGGTGGACACTAAAGAGTATGGCTGAGGTTATGAGCAATGGAACACACGTAGCCTGAAATCCCTGTGCCCGTCCCCACTGCAGCCCTTGCCCTCCCCCACAAAGGCAAATATCATTTTGGACATGGTATGTGCAGTGTTCTGTGTATTGTTATTACCTATATAGGTACCTGCTGTTCGAAAAATAAAAGGCACACAAAAATCAGTTTATGAATTTAATGAAATTTCTTATTTAATTAACCCCCTTGTGGCATCTAGCCAGAGAACATGGGAATAATGCATTTATCCTAGGGGAACATTTAGCCTATCATCCAGCAGTTCCCAGACTTCTTACAGGGTCATTAAGCAAGTGGCTTTTCTTGGTCCTGAAGAAGTGTCTCTATCCCCATGAGGAGGAATGTTTCTGTAACGTGCCCAGGGTCCCAGTGCCATCCTCAGTAGCCCTCTGATAGTTTCCCCAGGGAGTCTTGGCTGTGTTTCTACCAACCCAGAGATTGGCCAGCAGTTCAGAATCTTCAGTAAAATATACACAAGATCAACTTTACCACTTTAACCATTTTTATACAGTCCAGTGGCATTAAGCACGTTCACACTGTTGTACAGCCATCCCCACCATCCATCTCCAGAACTTTGTCATCTTCCCAAACTGAAAGTTGGTCCTCCCTGCCCAGCCCCTGGCAACCACCCATTCTAATTTCTGTCTCTATGAATCCAACTGTCCCAGTCCCCCCATATAGGTGGAATCATATAGCCTCTGTCCTTTTATGACTGATTTCCCTTAGCATAATGTCTTCAAGGCTCACCCATATTATAGCATGTGTCAGAATTTCCTGTTTTTTTCAGGTGGAATAACATTCCGTTATATGGATATACACCAGTTTGGTTTATCCATTCATCCATCACTGGATACTTGGGTTACTTGCATCTTTCAGTGGTTGTGAATAGTGCTGCTATGAAATGGGTCTGCAGATATCTATCTGTTCAAGTCCCTGAATTGTTTTCTTCCCTAAATTCTATTGTTTTTAAGACTGTCATAAAGAAAATATAGCCCAGCCCTTTGTGTTGTTATGAAACCTAGAAGGGTCAGGGTCTGCCTGGAGCCCATATTCAGGGACAGGATTCAGAACCCAGGCTGAGACAACTGAGCCTTGTTATCTTGTGGAGAGCCTCAGCTGCTGGTCTCGAGGAGCTCCCCGTCAAAGGCCATGAGCTTTGGGTATGATTCTGACTTTGTCCTCTTCACAGCTATGCCCTTTGCTTTCTGTACGAGAGAGAAGCTCCCTTGGACGGAATTTGCTGAGTCAGCAGAGGATGGACCCACCACCAGATTCTGTCAGAAGGTAGGACATTAACTGCTCCTCTGACAGCAGCTGCCAAACACGTGCAGGTCACAGAGCACAACCACAGCTGCTGGGTGTGGCCCTTTACCATGGAAAACACACCATTTGGTGCTTGTTTTGCCAGATAAGATTAGATAAGACTATTTGCTGCCCTTTTGTTAGTATATTTTCACTTAAAATCATAGAATTTCAGAGCCAGAAGGGCCCTTAATGGCTTTTTTTTAGGTGAAGGAGCCACAGCCCAGGGAGGGGTGACTTCTCACGATGGGTTCTATAGACAGCAAGTGGCAGAGGTGGCCCTCGGGGACCAGAGATGAGGTCAAGTCCTTGTCCCAACCTCTGCTACTGACCATGCTATTTGCCTGCATTATGGAAGCTTCTCTGTATGGCCTGTCTCATCAGTACAGAGATTGGTCTTCATTTGTCTTTATTAAAACCTTATAATGTTGTATGACCCCAGTGATATGAAATGTCCAGAATAGGCAAATGAATAGGGGCAGAAAGCACATTAGTGGTTGCCAGGGGCTGGGCGGGGAGAGGGGATGGGTAGTGACTACTAATGGGGTTTTCATTTGGGGGTGATGAAAATGTTCTAAAATTAGATTGTGGTGATGGTTGCACAACTCCGTGGATGTACCGAAAACCACCCAACAGCATACTTTAAAAGGACTAATTTTATACCATGTGAATACTATCCTAATAAAACAGTTATCACACACACACACACACACACACACACACACACACACACACACAACCCCTAACACCAAACAGGTTACGAATGATGGCATCCTTATTCTCACCTTGAACAAAGCAGTTTTTTCACTTCTCCATGTCCCATTCAGATTTTATATATGTATGTGTGTGTGTGTATATATATATATATATATATATATATATACACACATATAGGGGATTTTTTGAGCAGCACTGTAATCATAAGTGATTCTATCAAAATTGGGTTGCAATTCCAAACATCAGTATTTTCACGCTACTGGAAAAAATCTGTCATCCACCAGGTTGTTGATTCTGTGCTATGGATGAAAGAGGAGGGGACTGGTTAAGTGGTGACTGTAGATGACACGCTTGAACCAGGGCCAGAGGAAGAGGAAAGGGGGAGTGGGGATGAGAGCTGGTGCCAGGGACACCTGTCTGCAAGAGGGGCCCAAGACCCACAGACGCCCTTCCGTAGCTCAGAGCAGCACCTCTGCCCACTGTGCCTTTCCTCTTTCTGTCATTAAAGCCAGAGATAGTGACAGGCTGGTTAGAGTTGAGGACAAATGACCGCCTGGGGCTGCTCGTCATAATTGTCACCAGGTCCTGATGTTCTTACTTGAGACAAAAGGAATTCAGTATCAAAGAGTTTGGTTTGGTTTGACTTGGTTGGTTATAGATGAGAAGTATGATGAATATTCTTTTTTTTTTATTGTGGTAAACAACACATAAAATATACTATCTTAGCCATTTTTAAGTATAGTTCAGTGGTGGTAAATACATTCACATTGTATGTAATGTGAAACAGATTTCCAGAACTTTTTCATCTCATAAGTCTGAAACTCTGTACCCATCAAACAACTCTTCATTCACTCCCAGCTCCTGGAAACCAACATTCTACTTGCCGTTTCTATGAATTTGACTACTTTAGATACCTCATGGAAGTGGACTCGTTCAGAATTTGTCTTTTTGTGACTGGCTTATTTCACGTAGCATAATGTCTTGAAGGCTCATCCGTGTCAAGGATGACATCAATGTCATTCATGTGATGATAGGATTTCCTTCCTTTTGAAGGCTGAATAATATTCCACCCTATGGACATAGCACATTTTTAGAAAGATTTTATTTTTGAGTAATGTCTACCCAACGTGGGGCTTGAACTCACAACCCCGAGATCAAGAGTCACATGCTCTACTGAGCCAGCCAGACACCCCAGATATACCACATTTTATTTATCCATTCATCCATCAGTGGAGTCTTGGGTTGCTTCCACTTTTTGGCTCTTATGAATAGTACTGCTATAACCATTGGTGCGCAAATATCTCTTCAAGACCCTACTTTCCATTTTTTCAGATACGTAATCAGAAGTGGGACCTCTAGATCATATAGTAGTTCTATTTTTAATTTTTTGAGAAATTGCCATACTAGTTTCCACAGCTGCTGCATCATTTTACATTTCCACCAACAGTGCACAAGGACGATGATTATTCTTATTTAGCTAATAAGCTTGGGCATCAGGACAACACTGACATTCTTCCAAAGAACAAATAAAAATGATAGATAGCTCTGAACCAAGTCTAATTATTTAGTAGGATCATTTAATTCTTCAATAAAAACAACTATGACAGTTGATTTAAAAGTAGGACTCTGCTATATTCATCATTCTTCCAGCTGGCAAAGAAGCATGACATGGTGGTGGTATCCCCCATCCTGGAACGAGACAGAGAGCATGGGGACATTTTGTGGAACACAGCTGTGGTGATCTCCAATTCTGGAGCTGTCCTGGGAAAGACCAGGAAAAACCACATCCCGAGAGTGGGTGACTTCAATGAGGTGAGCCAGCTCAGCCTTTGTGGATCTTTCTGTGAGCAAAACTCTGTGTTGGATCATGTCATGTCACACAGTGCTGGAACACTGTGTGGCTGCAGTGCTCTGGGGTGTGCCGCCATTGTCCTGCATCACATGGACGATAGGATTCTGGTGGGAGTCCTGGGTGAGTCCCAAACACCAAGCACAGAGGGGTATTTCTTTTTCTAATATAACCTGATGTGGCTTTCTGAAATTTGTCTTTGAGGTAAGTAATATATTGATTAAAACAAAAATAAGTCATGCACAAATGTGAAATGATTCCTCAGCCCCTTTCAGGCTCTGAGCTCCTTACCTATCATAGGCTAGCCCTTGCTTGGGAGGTAGGGGGTCCTTGTCTGTAAGTCACATGAGGTATTAGCCATGTCAATGTGTGGGATGGCAGTAGGTTAACGTGCGTGTCTGTGCACAGGGGTATTAGGTAGAGCTTTGTGCCCATGATCAAGGTATAAATCAGGGGAGCTATTTTGATGAGTTAATGCCAATTCACGGGTGGATTAGATGAAGAGGGGTGGACGTTTGAAGGAGGGAAGTAAACTCCAGCTAATACCTAAGATATGAAACCTGAACTTGATCTGCGATGAATACAGTTGTTCAGAATGCAATCTCCCCAGTCCTTTGCTGCCCTCCCTGATTACGGGAATTCCAGCCACACTCAGACTGGTCAGGAGGACAAAGAAGGATCTATAGAGGGAGATGACATTTCCTAGGGGGAAAGAAAAACCGAGTGTATCTCGGTAACAGCTGGAGGTGCGGGTGGGAAGACGTGCTCATCACCTGTTTACCCTGGGATTAATCTTTAGCTCCCAGCAGATAGTGAAGGGCTTGTCTCAACACACCAGGATCTACTCCAGTGTCCACCACATGTGCACATCCTGGTTGCTGCCTGACCCTGACAAATTTTGAGATTAATGGGAGGAGGCAAAATGTTCTGGAATCATATCTGTTTGGGACCCTGACTAGTCCTCTAGCCCCCACTCAGTGCCATCCATGAAAATGTCCCAGGGCCGGCACCCCAAGGGGGCAGAGAGGCCAGCTGGGCAAGTCACATGCCCCCTGAGGCCATGGTGGTTTTCCCCTAGCAGGTGACGGTTGCTCTGGATGAGCTTCCAGTCCCTTCTGCTCTGACATTCTTTATAGGAACATGTGGCTGGTGAAGACATTGACTAACTCATGTTAACATCGACCAAACTTTAGCCTTTAGTTGTACCACGATTGAAACCTAACTAAAGTTTATCCTTAAAATACTGTGGGAAGTTGCTTTGGGGATTTTTCTGACATGCCACAAAAGAAATTGTGGGTAAATGCTTAAGCCACGGTGATTTCCCAGTTGTTGGCTTGTAGTTATTGTGTCTGGTTTCTTCAATTTAAAAAAAAAATTTTTTTTTAAACATTTATTCATTTTTTGAGAGACAGAGAGAGAGAGACAGATTATGAGCAAGGGAGGGGCAGAGAGAGTCAGCTGCTTAACCAACTGAGCCACCCAGGAGCCCCTCTTCGATTAAAAAACATTTTTTTAATGTTTATTAATTTTTGAGAGAGAGAGTGTGTGTGTGAGCAGGGGAGGGGCAGAGAAAGAGGAAGACACAGAATCTGAAGCAGGCTCCAGGCTCTGAGCTATCAGCACAGAACCTGACACGGGGCTCAAACCCACGGACCATGAAATCATGACCTGAGCTAAAGTCAGACATGAGTCACAGCCAAGACTGTTACTTTTAGAGAACTGGAATATTTTATTTTTTCCGTCAAGTCTAAGGAAAGAGAAATCGCACAGCCCAGAGGTTTTCACATATGGCCCTTGTTTTTCAGTCAACTTACTACATGGAGGGAAACCTCGGACACCCCGTGTTCCAGACTCAGTTCGGGAGGATTGCGGTGAACATTTGCTATGGGCGGCACCACCCTCTCAACTGGCTCATGTACAGCATCAACGGGGCTGAGATCATCTTCAACCCCTCAGCCACCATCGGAGCACTCAGGTCTCTCAGCTTGCAGGATCTGGGAGGGTTCTTGGGACCTAGTGATCTTAGACCCACCGCCAGGCTGCAGGGTTCCGAGATGGGTTTAGTAAACTGTCGTGCGCAGCTGCAGCCACCAGGTTGTCTTACAAATCTGAGTATGGGATTGTGTGTTGTGTATTTACCCAACTTTTCTGTGGGAAAAAAATTACTCAACGTCAATTAAAATTCCCCCTAAAGAGCTGCTTTGCTGTAAAATACTATTCTCTGCTATTATTCTGAACACTGAGATGGTAATAATTCCCCTCCATCCTATAATTGTCAGGATTCCAAAAAGCTCCTCTTCTAAAGTACCCAGAGCATAGTAGGTGCCTGGCCAGCATAAGCTCCCTTCCCTGTCATGGCCCCTGCTAGGGGGACTGAGGATATCTAAGAGTCTTATCTGCAACATCCAGCACATGGAAGTCAGACATCTGGATGAGAGAAGGAGCAAATGAGAGACTAAAAGCTGTGAGGGTCCTTAAGAGATCAGTTAAGTGACTCTGAAACTTGGTTTTAACCAGCAAAGGGTTTTTCTTGTAACACCTAACACGTGTTTAGGTGTCAGCCTAATCCTGAAACAGATAAATCTATTCTGATCAAGGCTGTGCGGTGGGCCCCGGCAGCCCTTGGGTTCCTGTGCAAGACCCCTGGGGCTCACTTAATAATGGCAGGCAAGCTAAGATGACCCGGCATGACTGCACTTCCTCTGCTTGTCTCTTCCGCAACGGCTGAGTATTTTGGTGGTTTCTAGTTTTGCATCATTAACAAGTACCAGAACTCTAGGAATTTATGTGCAGTTATCTTTCTTCCCAACTCACTTCCTCCAAAGCAGGATTTCTGGAGCAGGAGGTGCTGGCCTTCACTCTGTGTTGTACTGGTTGCCAGTGCCCTAGCAGTGGGCCCCTGGGGGACCCATGGGGAGTGGTTGGGGCAGTTCTGGTGGGCAGCTTTGAGTTCCCTGATGGCCTATCCCTGTCACTCTTCTCTCTTGACTAAATTTTAGTCAAATTTCTTCTGAAGGTCAGAATGTGATATTTACTTTACCTTTTCTTTTGAGCATGGTGCTCTCTTCTCAAGAGCGACATCCTTATAGCATTCCAGTTTCCACAGCAGCCCCCTCAGTGAGGCAGAGCACAAACCTAGCTGGCTCCCTCAAGTCAACTGCCCCATCCATGCACCTGAAGTTTCTCTCTGTGTCCAGGAGGGGTGCTGTTGGTCAGAAGAGAAAAATTTTGGACATCCCCTGAAGAATCTCCCTGGGGCCTCATGGCAGCTTAGTTACTATGACAGAGTCCAAGGCAGTTGTGACATAGGGTAAACTACTGGTCATCCAGCATCCAGACCTGGGCAGAACCTCTGGGCCACCCCCCTGGAGCAGCCCCCTCCTGTTGGCCATGTGTAAGACATTCAGCAAGCATCATCTACCTGCAAGGGTCCCTTGAGGAACCTGAAGCCAATTCGCTGAGCATCAGTGCCTATACCGGCTCTTGGGCCAGGGCAAGCAAAGCTGTGGCCTCAGACTCGGATGGCCAGCTCCCTGACCTTACTCTGTTGAGCTTTTATTATCCCCAATTAAGCAAACAGAAGCACCCCAATGTAATATGCACATAACTATTTATGTCTCCAGCAGTCTATTAGACTTATTAAAAATTATTGATTTTCCTTCCTCAACCAACAGTCATCCAACTCATGCCTTTCAAGGGTATGGTGAGGCTGACAGTTAAAACGGTAACACGTCCTTTGGAAAGCGGTATGTTTCATGAGCTCCTAAAATGTTCACACCCTTGACCAGATAATACGCCTAGAACTTTACCTGACAGAGTATCTAAAGGAGGAGGAAAAGGCTGAAGCCAGAGGTGAGAGAAATGTCAGACTTAGGTACCTTTCGGCCCATCTCTTCCTTGTTATTGCACAGTCACTAAAAAGTCATTATGAAGATAATGCAACATCATGACAAAAGCCTGTGAGCAAAGATGTTTTCAGGCTATGGTCAGAACTCTGTAAACCTCTTTTGCCAAGAATGGGTATGGAGTGTGGAAAAATTACAACAGATGGTTTGTAAGGATGGTGGGATTCTGGGTGATTTTCTTAAAATGATAAATGAGTATTTATGGAATTGATGGTGAGTGTTTTTTCAGCACCGGGCTGGGCAAATCCCCACCAGCTGCACGCAAGCAATGGCTTCTGGAACCATCCATTCCTTCACTGGCATGTCCCCCCTCCCATACACACACGCTCTGTGGATTGGTGGGGTGTCCTCACTCATTTTAGGGTCCCACAGTTATAAGCACATGATAGACTTGAAGTGTTTTTTGATGACCTGGGTCATCCTGACCCATGTGGCCATGTATGTGTGTCAGTAGGCGAGTCGCTGTTCCATCTCTTCAATGCATGTCTTTGTCACACTGTGACTGGGAATAAGGCAGATGTCCCCATACACCCATCGGGCTCTCCATGATTCCCACATACCCTGGGTTCTCACGAGCCTCCATCTTCTTTCCCTTGCTTGCTTTGAGAGCCAAAGTTTTATTGCCAGCTGTGGGTTTGAGTCCTACACAGTGCACCCTCCCAGGAGAATTGCAAGAAAGATGTTTTCTGGCACTCACCCTGCAACTGTCTATTTAATTCCTGAAAATGTCATTTACGGGTGTGTTTCTATAAAAATCCTTTCTTAAAAGTTTTGTCAGCTTGGCTTAGCACCTGGGTGGGGGTGGGGGCAGGGAAGCAGCAAAATGAGTCCTCTCAATCAAGCCTGTGATTTTTTTTTTTTTTACAGACTCGTGAAACCTCCCGAGAATTAGGCTTGTGACAAGCACCCACTCCCTCCACCTACTCCTGGTTTAAACCAGGTGCATGCTGACAGGAAGGAAGATTCCAGGGCATTTTGCTCTCAGTCACTCAGTGTTTCTAAGTGGGCATTACACCTGTCAATCCAGAATCTTAATGATGTTGTTCCTCAGACAACAGAGTGACAAGAAGGCCCACTGGATTCCATGGCACATTGTCATTGGTGGGCTGGAGAAGGACAGGGTCTTCAATTGGGACAAGGTTTTCCACCATGTCCTACCTTTGTGAATACTGGACTGAAGAAGGCCCACAGCTCAGCTGTACCTGTATGGTGCCTCCTTCCTGGGCCAGTAAGAGAACCAGGGATCCCCTGCTTAGAGTCTCAGGGTTCAGAAGAGGAAAATAGGAAGGCACTGGGAAATGTGGACAGGCTCAGGGGAGGTGACACCTGCTACAGAATCTACCCCTTCCAGTTACCCCAATTCCTTGCAGGTTTACTCTGTTTGCTTGGCCTGAAGTACCCCCTCTCTAGAGACTGCTTTGCAAGGCAACAGAGCAGGGTCGGGATTAGTGCAGCAGTCTGAGCCTTGAGCTCCCTTCTTACATTTGCCAGGTGAGGCTCTGCCCAGCACAGAATGTGAGTTCCTCACCCGACCCAAGAGGAGGGAAGGAGAGAGAGCTAGTCACAGGGCTTCTGCCACGCAGCCCCCTCTAGAAGCTTTGCCTGTGTGGTCAGTCTTTACAATATTCCTTTAAGGAAGTTTCAGAAAAGGAAACTGAGGCTCAGGGCTACTTTGTCCTGCAGCAGCCCCTCCCCAAAAGGCTGCTTGGGCTTGAACATGGGACAAGCTGGCCTGCTTGTGGGTTTGGGGTCACCCACAGCCACAAACAGTCTCCCTGGCCATCCCCACCTCGGACCTGAGAAGGCCGACAGCCTGGCTGTCACTCAGGACCAAGCACCCTCCCAGTCTGGCTGGAAAGTCAGCCACATGGTTCCTCTTGTTTCTCTCACAGTGAGTCCCTGTGGCCAATTGAGGCCAGAAACGCAGCCATTGCAAATCACTGCTTCACCTGTGCTATCAACCGCGTGGGCCAGGTAAGTCCCCGAGGTCTGGCTGGTCTCCCAGGTTTGGTTAACCAGGTGTGCTGGGGAGGGGACAGAGTGATAAGCTGCTAGGAAGGCTACCTGCCGAGAGGGGACCCAGCCTCTTCGGCCAGCAGAGTCCACAAGGGGAAGCAACTGTCTGCTGGCCCTGGTGGGGACATGTCACACCTCTTCTCCCTGCTCCCTTTGTGTGAAGGCCATAAATCCTAGGGTCCCGAAAGGCGGTAGACTGGCTTGGTCTGTTACTTTTAAAGATATTCCTATGTCCTTCTTCTGTTTTTGTCTGTTTTGGTTTTTAGCTGAAACTGTTTTGAATGGCTGTCACCCTGTCCCCACCACGTATCCAGTTTCGTGTTTTTCCCCATTGACCCCATGCACTGAATGACCCTGACTACAAAAACACAATGCGTTTATTACGTAATAATCTTCTTCCTATTCTTATTAATTGGATGCCAAAATCTAATCAGAGCATCTGCTCAGTCTGAGATAACCGAGGTTTCTACGTTTCTGGCAACATGAACAAACTCAGTTACCCCATCACAGCTTGATATGCAGTTTCCATTAGGCTTTAGGGAAGATATTGAAAACCACGTGTGGACACCCCCTTACTCCCTTCGTAGACCCCAAGCTGGGGCTTATTTCTCAGGTGGATACACCTCAGATGCCTTCCACAGTCCTGAGAACCACTCTGCAAAGCATCTTTTTTTTTCCCCCCTCCCAGGAGATTATAAACTCCCCAGAGATGAAGTCTGAGTTTTTACCTTGCCTGTCAAATTCCCCGCTGGCCGCCTGTGTTGGCCCGATGCTGGCTACTTAGCAGGGACGTTTAATAAGCACTTGTTGATTGCCCAGTGACTACAGGCCATTCCTTCTGGCTTTAACTGTTTCTTCACAAAACGCCTCCTCAGCCCGACTTTGTGGTGGATGCGGTGGTAGTGCCACCTATAGGTTTACCTTACCTTGGTTTTATTTCACAGGAGCACTTCCCGAATGAGTTTACCTCTGGAGATGGGAAGAAAGGTATGTTCTGTGAATTTCCATGGTGGCTGCAATTGAGGGGTGGGCCTCGCTGTCCCATTCTCTGTCTGCCACAGGGTCTGTGCCACAGGCCTTGTCTGCACATGTGGCATGTTGTCGCAGGTGTGCACTGCTCTCATCTTTATGGCCCACAGTGTGGGGGGAGCCTGACCATGGCTACGTTTGGATAGGCAGTCCTGGGCTTGTGACCACATCATTCCCCAGATGGGAATTGAATGGCATTGGATTGGACTCTACCCCTCCCCCGGGATTGGTATAAAATGGGCCTAAAAGATATGGGGGAGCCCTTTGTGAGCTCCCTGAAAGAGGGGGTGCTTTAACCGCCCTACGCATCTCCTTCCCTCTCTTCCTTTGTCCTTGTTCATCTGCTACCATCCCCCACCCCAAGCTGCACAGCTGTCCCAGAACACTGGCATGGATTGTCTTGGGTTCATAGAATCCACAGCTTGTTTTGATCTGAGGGCAGGTACCACCTCACCTCTACTAGGATTCCCCACCCCCTGGTCCCACCTCTCTGGCTGGAAATGTGGAAGGGAAGGGCCCACCAAGGAGGAACTACCTCAGGGTATCCCCTGATAAGGCAGAGGGGATGGAGCAGGTCTGTTTCCCAGAAAAGTACTTCCTGAAAGTGTTCCAGATCCCCTCATTTGAGGCCCCAGACTTCCAGAGTCTCCAATCCCAGTTAGCTCTCTGCAGTCAGAGTCACAGAAGAGGCAGGGAAATGAAGTCTGCTGGGAATCTACTGTGTCCAAGCCCCTGCTGGGCCCTGCACTGTGCCCACCTACTCCTTACATGCCTGTGGGGTGGCTATTAGCCCACTTGTGAGGGGACCGAGGTACGGAAGGAGGTGGGTACAGTAGACAGAGCTGGCAAGGCAAGTGAGGGCAGAGCTTCCAGCTCATGTTGTTGGGCCACCACAGGAAGCAGGTCACACAGGAAGCCCTACAGAGCCATGTGACTCCTTTGGGCTGTGGGTGGCTAATGTTGGGAGTAAGGGCTAATACTTCTACAAGGGTGACCTTTAAGAATGTTCCCAGGGGCAGAGGTGAGGGCTGTGAAGGTGACTTTTGGAAAAACTTCCTTGACCTCAGGCCTGAGGAGGGACTCAGGGACTTGGGCCTCAGCATTTGGCAGATGCTGGGGAGGGTGGCACTGACCCTTTGTTTAGGATGTCACTCAATGTGCCTCCCTCTCTGAAGAATCCACCATGTGCCTGCACAAGCTCACAGGTTCTTTCTTTTGCTCCTTCAAAGCTCACCAGGACTTCGGCTACTTTTATGGCTCGAGCTACGTGGCAGGCCCGGACAGCAGCCGCACCCCTGGTCTCTCCCGCAATCGGGACGGGCTGCTGGTTGCCGAGCTTGACCTGAACCTCTGCCGGCAGGTGAATGACATCTGGAACTTCAAGGTGGGTCCCTGAGTCCCCTGATCTTGCCCTGCTTCTCTTCTTGAGCCCCCATCCTGCTCTCAGGGCTAGAAACCACAGCCGCTGGGTTTGCTCTCCAGAACAGCCAGATGAGACTCCAAGCTGAGTGGAGGGGCAGGTTTCTTCCTCCCAGAGCTGGTGTGTGAGGGAGGAACCACTGCATCAAGTAAGGCTCAGGCAGCAGACCCTAATAAATTCTCCTCTTGTCTGATTTAGAATCTGGGCGCCTTCAAACAAATTAATCTCAGTTTCATTTGTCCGGAGAATAGAGTGGATTGGCTTCTCTAATCCTTTTTTTCCTTTCCAGGCATTTGTACTTATCACAAGATAAATGTGGGTGTCTGGCTCTGCCTGTGGCCCGGCCCCATGGTCTAGGCCTTGATGGTAGAGGGAAATGGGTCATGCAAAGAAATGGCATCTTATCACAGCTGTGTGCCCCCTCCTCCCCACCTTTCCCAGTCACGTTAAGCAAGCCCTTTCTGCTCCTGGGCCTTAGTATGCCCATTTGTAAAACAGAAGGCTTTACTGCAAGGTCTCAAGTGGCCTTTGAGACCTAACTTGCGTGACACCAGGGGTTATGGGAGGAGCATAAGTGCCCGCCTTCCTGGAATGGGGAGCCATTCCATGGCAGCCATGGCCCAGGACCCGGACCCCCCTGGAATACACTGTCTCATCCTGGATGCAGATGGAGTTTGCTGCATTAGTGTCCAACAGTATTCTATCAACTCAGAACCCACGCCAATGAATACATACAAATGAATGTCCTCACAGCTGAATGACTTTGCCCAGCTTCTGTGGGAAGAACCAGCTCCCCTCCATTTACCTGAGCATGGGTCCTTGGGCGTGTTCCCTGAGTCTCAGATCCCCATCAGACAAACAAGACAAACAAGGCCCATATGAACATCTCCTCTTTCCTGGGAAGGTCTCTCCTCTTCCTGGGAAGCTCAGATTAATGCTGTATTCCACACAATAAACAGAATGTTTTCTCATTAGGAACTTTTTGAACGCAAAAGCCCTCCCAAACTATGGTAATGGGCTTGAGCTCCTACTGGGACTTTGGGGAGGAGAGAGGGAGGAGATGCTGGGTAGATTCTCTAGCCCTGCCCCCACTCTCTCCCAGACCAGAGCCGGGAGGGTGCACCAGGGTGCAAATACCTGCAAACTTCACTGCTGTCTGGGGACAGCAGTGTCACTCCCCTCTCTGGGCTGTGGGCTGTTCTTCTGGGGTTCTGTAAGACGGAAGGACAGCCCTCTTCCCTTCTGCCTTGGGGCAGGCCACACCTTCCGGATGACAGATCACAGAGGTCTTCCAGCAGGAGGGGCTGGAGCGTGTGAGTCCTCTGTCATCTGTCATCTTAGCTATAGCACCGGAATCAGTGCCGAGAGGTCACACAGGGGTTGTTTCTCTGTGTTACATAGTCTGAAACTATCCCCTCAACTGGCCTTCCAGACAAATTTCTGTCCCGTGGCTGCCCTCTAGTGGCTAGAGGTGGTGGTGAGTAAATGAGGGACGTTTATGAAACAAGAATTTCTGCCTGTGTTTTGCTTTCAGATGACGGGCAGATATGAGATGTACGCTCGGGAACTTGCCGAAGCCATCAAACCCAACTACAGCCCCAATATTGTGAAAGAGTAGCTGGATGTCAGTCCCTGCCTACCAAGGAGGGGACCTCTGCCCCTAGCAGCTCATCAAGTACAGCAGGCTTTTACACTTTCAAGTTCTCCCTCATGATGCCCTGATAACATTGCTGTACAGATTGGTTTTAAAATGCCCAGGCAGGGAGGGTAGATTGAAGAGTGACTGCTTAATGAATATGAGGTTTCCTTCCTGGGTGATGAAATGTTTTGGGGCTACACAGAGGTGATGGTTACACCTCTAATGTACTAAATGTACATGAATGTACTAAATGCCATTGAATTGTATACTTTAAAATGGCTAATTCTGTGTTATATGAATTTTACCTAATTTTAAAAAATCCCAGGCACTGCTTGTGCAGGTTGACTTGCATTTAAACACATGGGATGCCCCAGTCCTGAGGTTCCTCACCTCCTCTGTTTAGACTGTCAGCAACCTGAGGGTAAGGGTGGGAGTGTATGTCCAAGGGAAAAGCCGAGGCTGATCCAGAGTCCTTGAATTACTGGGTGGTTGTGGGCAGGGGAGACGGTCATTAGATGTGTCCACTTGGCCAGGCTGCAGTCTCCAGATATTCAATCAGACGCTAATCTGGGTGTTGCTGTGAAGGTATTTTGTCGACGTCATTAAAGTCTGTGACCAGTTAACTAAGCAAGTGAGATTATCCTAGATAATCCTGATAGGCCTGATTCAGTCAGTCAAAAGGCCTTCAGAGGAGAGTTGAGGCTTCCCCAGTGAAAAAGAAATTCTGCCTGTGGACAGCAGCTTCCTTCCCAGGCCTGTTTGAGTTCCAGTTTGTCCTTCCTGGTGGCCTGCCCTACAGATTTCAGACTTGTCTGTCCAGCCCCCACAATCACTTAAGTCAGTGCCTTGCAATAAATCTCTTTCAATATATATGCGACTGTTTCTGCTTCTTTGGTTGGACCCTTACTGATATAGATTCTGGTACTAGAAGTGGTTCTAGAGGAACAGAATCTTCAGGACGAGTTTTCTGCATTGGTGCTAGGTTTCCTGGAATTCTTCTCTAATTTGGTTGATTTAAAGACACTAATGACTCTATTTCCAGTAGTAAAGAGGGCAATGGTTAGTCCATGGTATGATGTAGCAATAGAGATGTATAGAAAGAACAGGACATCAGCCTGCACGCAAGAGTCCCAGTCTGCCGTTCCTGGTGGCCTGTCCCATCTGTGGATTTTAGGCTTGGCTGACCAGCCCCCATCAATTGCAAGTATAAGGCAATTCCTTGCACTAAATCTCTAAATCTCTATATCTTTATATATATATATATATATATATATATATATATATATATATATACACATACACACATGCTTATACATATATATGTACACACATACATATGTACATTTGTATCTCCTATATATATAAATATATCTGTATCCCCTGCTGATTCTGCTTCTCTGAGCACTGACTGCCTGACTTACGTAGCAGATTTCCACTTCTCTGCACCTTGGTTTCCACATCTGTAAAGTAGGACCATATCCCCTCTCCTGCTTTATGCGACAGGACAGTGGTAAGAGAAAGACTAGATGGGTCAGGGAGCCTATGTGACCTTGTTGCATCACACAGCAAGAGTCCCACCTGTGAAGTCTCAAACCTCCATAGCCAGCCACAGTGTTGAAAGTGGGAGTGGGGTCCTCTGGTTCTACCCTTACTGTGCCCAGTCAGAGAAGGTAGCCTCATTCCTTCCCTGGCCCAGCAGCTGAATTGTATGAATCAACCTATGTCAGGGCTGGAGTGCTCCTCGACAGCCACATGGGGTGAGAAAACCAGTTGCAACCATCCAGCCATACCTCTGTGTTAACCCCCTTAACCTCTCTGAGCTGCAGGCTTTTCCCTTCACATAAAAGCCCCCTTTGTACTTACTTTTCCATAGAATCCAGCCCTGCAGATGCAGTGAGCTTTTCTGTCTGGCCTTCAGTGTCCAGAAACGCTGTGCCTGTGATTTCTAAAAGGAGCGTGTAGTCAACCAAATACAGAAGCCAGCTGAGATGACAAGTTGGTGTATTTATGAAATAGGCTCTAATACACCAGAAAGGATTTGATTATCCACACCTCTCACTGCCTAGAATCAAAATGTTCAAGCCTGCCTTAGGGTAGATGGGTCCTGCACACATGGAGTCATTTAAGGGTTTAACTCATGCCTGGAACATTTAGATACTCAGCAAACATTTGTTGGCTGAAACCTAGGGTAGAAGTTTTTGTTTCTATGTGATCATTGCTGATACCACGGGAGAGAAGTTGCAGTGGTTCTGTGTACAGGGCCTGTGGTGGATGGGTGAAGGCTTCTGACACTCTGAGCCTTGGTTTTCTCACCTCTAAGATGAGAGGTGACTGGGCTTAAGGCTTTCTGGGGTCTCCCTAGCTCTTCAGACAACATTCCTGATAGCCCATGGCTTTATTGCTAGAATCTGGAGTATCAGGGGAGAGTGGTGCCAAGCCACAGTGTGTCCAACAGGAAAAAAGGCAAAGACATTCTCCAGGATAGACCACATTTTAGGCCACAAAACAAGTCATAATAAATTTTAAAAGATTGAAATCATATGAAGTATCTTTTTCAATCACAATGGAATTAAACTAGAAATAAGTAGCAAAAGGAAAATTCAGAAATATGTGAAAATTAAACCACATGTTCTTAAATACCCAATGGATCAAAAAAAATCACAAAGGAAATTAGAAAATGTTTTGAAACAAATGAAAACAAAACCAAAACACCAAAACTTATAGTATGCAATGAAAGCAGGGCGACAGGGAAATTTATAGCTGTAAACACTTACATTAAAAGAGAAGGGGGGTGCCTGTCTGGCTCAGTCCGTAGAGCATGTGACTCTTGATCTCAGAGTTGTGAGTTCAAGCACCACATTGGGCATAGAGTTTACTTTAAAAAAAATAAAATAGGGGCACCTGGGTGGTTCAGTTGGTTAAGTGTCTGACTCTTGATTACAGCTCACGTCATGATCTCACAGTTTGTGAGTTTGAGCCCGCATTGAGCTCTGTGCTGATGGTGTGGAGCCTGTTTGGGATTCTCTTTCTCTCCCTCTGTCTGTCCCTCTCTCTGCTCTCTCTCTCTCTCTCTCAAAATAAATAAACTTAAAAATTTTTTAAATAAATAAATAAAATAAAAATTAAGAAGAGGATTTCAAATCAACAACCGAATTTTATACCTTAAGGAACTAGAAAAAGAAGAGCAAACTAAACCCAAGATAACCATAGAGAAGGAATATTTAAGATTAGAGCAGAGAGAAATAAAATAGAGAATAGAAAAAACAATAGAGACTACCAATGAAGCCAAAAGTTGATTCTTGAAAAGAATCAACAAAACTGACAAAGCCTTAGCTTGATTGACTAAGAAAAAAAGAGAAGACTCAAATTACTAAAATCAGAAATGAAAGTGGGGACATTACTACTGATTGTACAGAAATAAAAAGGGTTATAAGAGAGTACTATGAACAGTTTGTTAGAGGAGGTCATCAAGAGCATATGACTGCTGGTTGACTCATGGACTGGACCCAGGCAATCAGAGGCCCCTTCCCCTCCTCTGCCCACTAGAATGTACATTCTGCCCACTCTTAGCTCCACACTAGGAGCTACTTCAATGACACAGCTTGAGAGAGTAGTTTTTTTTCTAGTCAATTGGCAAATATTTATTAAGATTCTAACACTGTAAAACGAACTAATATGACCCACAGAGACAAAGATGAACAAGATGGGCAAGATACCTATTCTTGTGGAGCTTTCTTTCTTTTTTAATGAGTCATGCATAATTTGTTTATTTATTTGGGGGGAGGGGTTTTGAATGTTTATTCAAAAAATATTTATTTATTTATTTATTTATTTATTTATTTATTTA